GCAGCCCATACTATGATACAGTGCGCGCTCAATATAGCTTGTTATAGAGCCTTCATTATCCATTGTATGCACTGATTAACCTTTATTGTTCATTTGAACATCTTGGTTCAACTAATTTTAAAAGCCTCTGATAGCATCCTGGCAGTGCATAAAAAACCCTCCTGTTCTCAGCAGTGTGACCATACAAGATTCATGTAATACCATCAGACAAGTTAGAAACAGGCCACAATGCTAGAGAGTGACACCACACGCACATGGTGGAGAGTAGATTTACCTGGCGGTGATCACCTAATGCTTCTCCCAGCATCCTCTCAATGTTCCTCATGACTGCAACTTTCTGTTGAGCAGTCAGCGGATAGTTGATATGGCTTGGTGTTGGACCAGCCTAGAAATGGGGACAGCACATTCACCACAATGACTTGAGCTTTATTTGACCCGTAAAAGATACCACTTTAAAAAATGGATATGACAGCTTTGTTTATTATTTCTTCAAAAGCAACACTCAAAGATATCTTGACGGTTAAAAAATGGTGGCGTTTCACCCTGAACACATTACAATGTAAGTGAGACCAAAACTCGGGGGAGGGGGGGAAGGGGAGGTAATCTCTTATGGGGGCTATTGTAGAGGTATGTGCAGCCCCAAATGCTATGGTTCTTCAGCTGTTTTGGCCATAAATGGGGTATCAATTTTGGCCATGTTGGTCATGAATGGTCATAAATAGGGTACGGTTTTTGCACTCTAGTCTTGAATTGGGTATTTTTTTAGAAGTAGCTAGTTTTTCATCATTATCAATAAGACCATCAACAAAAGCCCTTCATAGTGCCTTTAACATCGGTCTAAACAAGGTAACTAATATAATTATTAAAGGCAGGTCTGAAACAGGGTATAATATTAGGGTCAGGTCGTAAATAGAGTATCGAAGTTTTAGTCAAGTGATAAATAAGATAGGGAAAATCAAAGACTTTGGTCATAAATAAGGTAAGGGTTTTGGGAAGCAGGCCACACACCCCCATCCAATCTTTGTGGGAGTACCCCCTCCCCATGAATTACACCCCTGAGCGAGGCAACAAGCATCCCCAACCTTTTCAAATCGGAGTCCCACCCCTTCCCCCACCACCCCTTGGGTCTAAATGACATACTCACCTTGTACCAGAAGTTGACAGACGTTGTGATTCCACCATTCATTGTTGATTCCACATGATGCCACCTGAAACAATCCATGTCGTTATTAATATTATGGCATCTGTACTAATGTATAAGCTAGAGCAGTGTGCCATTGAGTGTCAAAAGTAATCATGCAATTACTTCGGTTTTGGTTTTAGTTTTAGAGCATTTTTTTTTTCTTAGAGTATAGAAAAGGTAATTGGTATTGCACTTACTACGCCACCGGATTGGTTTAAAAACCTCACGCCACTTTTTCATCCAATCAGGAGTAAAACCAAAACCAATCGGGATTTACTCACACGCATTTTCCTGTGCTTTGTGTCAGCTACGTGTAATTACTTGGAGCTTTGATTGGTGTAGTAGATTATCTGGGTACTTTGTGATTGGTTAGAGTGATTACTTTGGTTCTGGTTTTCTGACACTCAATAGAAAACCATTCTACTACAGTTATTTATTTCATTTATTATTGTTATTATTATTATTATTTAATATTTAATCTATTTTTAATTACCCTATATATTCTGGCAAAATTTTAATCAAAAATACTC